TGTTTCTCTACAGGCAAAAAGATGACGGTAATAGATCCGTATAAAATGGATCTCCGATTCACTTACGATATACAGAAATGGATGGGAATTAATGAGACGATTACTGCCACTTATTATGACTACAGAACTCATAGTTTTCATCTATTCTTCAATAATAATAAGTATCGCATTTGGAAAGTGAATGTCCCTCTAATGAATTCACTGCCAATGGGATGGGTATGTAATCATTTCGCTCCCAATTCTCTCGACACTAACTTATATTGATATTTAATGGCAATCGTATTGTCTTTGGCGTAATTGCATAACAGGACAGGGCTTTCCTTCACGGCTCGCTCAGCAATGCTCTCAAAATAAATAAGGATTTCTTTCAATTCAATGAACGAGAGCTAAAGGATTACAATCAACCGCTGTTTCAACAAGAAGTGGTCGATCTTAACGATGACGACGAAGACGTGGACGAGAATAACGAAGACGTGATCGAAGAGAAGATGGAAAACAATTTGGAGGAAAATAGTCGTCAAAAAGAGCTTCAATTGATTACTGAAGTGAATAACGATTTGGAGGACAACAGAAAAGTGGACAACAATTTAGTGAATGTCTACAAAGATTACAATGATTTATATCAACGCAATCCAGCCGTTAGTCCAGTGATCGCCAACTCTTCATTCAAACTACACTTTCATTTCATTTATTTATTATTTTGTTTTAATATTTTATACTATTTATAGACAATTTAAATGCAATAATGTTTTTGAAACAAAGTTTTTTAAATACAATAACTGTAAGTAATTTTACGAGAGTTTGTGTCAGACTTGTTGCCAAACTTTTCATAAATTAAGCAATAATTTTCATTTATTGGCAAATGATTTCATTTATCAAAAAATAAAATCAATTTTATGATTAAAACCCAAATTTTAAAACATAAAACTAACTTTCATTTCACTCATTAAAACCCTTTCTCAACAAAAAATTAACATAAAATAAAAATTAAAGCAAAAAAATCAGAGCTCTTATTGAAAGTGAAGAAAAATATTTCATGCGTTAAATATTTGACACAAAAAATAAGAAAAAAATTTCCGTCTATTGTATTGTATTTATGAAGTTTGCATTAATTGTAATACAATGAGTGACCCGCGAGTGTGTAGTTTAACCCACATTCAAATTAACATTCAATCCATACTTAAGACCTGTTCCTATGATTTCATATAAAAATGGTTTGCATTTGTGGTCAACAGATGTCTCATAGCCTTCAAGAAAATAACATATAATTTATGTCCAATAATAACGTCAAGAATATCAGAAAAATAACACAATTGATAAAAAGGACAATACGTTTAGTTATAATACTGTCTGTGAAATGGGGGCTGAAATGGGGTGCAATTGAAACACATGTCTATACAGTAATGGAGACGTTGTTAGCGAACGAACCAAATGTAATGAAAACATTGAATGCATTGAATATTTGAAAAAAACATTTAATAATCAAAAAAATGTTTTGCAAAAAGTTATTAAACACAAGACTATTGTCGCAGATATTGAGCGGCCATCGGATGTGTTGCCGTCGAGGGAACGCCGGTTGGTATCAGCCGTTCCGAAGCGGCGCCAAGAAGTACGAAGACATTCGGGAAGCGAAGTGGGAAGCGATTCCCGAGTGGGAGAAACTGACCG